ATGGGAGCAATCACAAGGTTTATAAGACTACAGGATCAGGAAGTTAATTGTTAGTCTGTATCAGAAACCGACCCAGTGACATACAAGGCCATCTCCCTACTTTTCAAAAATAGGAGGTATCAGGCATGGATTCTGGAGATATTTATGACTCCATTTGGCTTACTTGACCTGTATGAACACAGCCTTAAATGAACAATGCTTACAATGTATGTATTCCCCTCATGCCTATTCCATGGGGGAAAAAAAAATCATTTGAGAGGCAAAGGAACTATTTCAAAGTCATCATTACAGCCAGAGATTATACAAACAGATTTCTTAGGGTAATGAAACAGCACTTCAGTGCACAGAGGCAAAGTTCTAAGGATTTCAGTCAACATTAGCTCAGTAAGGTTAAAAAAAAAAAAAATAGAAAAAAAACGAAAAAGCAAAGTGTAATAGTTGGTGCTATGAGGCACTCGAAAGGTAAAACAATGTTTGATTACCTTGAGATAATAAAAAAAAATATTTTCCTTATTGGATCCATAAAATCTAATGCTCATTGACCATTATCATCTTTACAGATAACGGCCTTGAGCAATGGCATTCTGACTCACAAGAGCTCGCCTGTTCTCGGAGAAGATGGATAAAACCCAGTTTCACTTTGGCTGTTTCCACAGTCATCCTTGCTTTCATCGGCCGTGGACCTGGACTGAGGACTGACGCCTCTGTGCGAGACTGACACCTTGACCAGAGCAACTGCTCAGCGAGAGCCAACGCTCCCATTCGACCTGCAGACTGGGAATTCAACAACTAAACTTTTTCTACCTACTTTACACTCTCTTGCAGGTCAGTATTTTTATTTGCTTGACCTCATGGGGGCAGACCTTGTAGTGGCAAAGGCTGTGAATTCTGAGGAGCCAGTGATCATCTACTGCTTCCTTCCTCAAACATTAATGACAGAGATAGCGGAGTAAGTGGACCAGGAACACAGCTGCTGTGTCCCCGACAGAGACACACTTACGGACACATAAGCAAGAGCCTTGTCTGCTCTTCTCCAGAAGAAGTTAAAAACAACAACAACAACAAAAAAACGAGTATACTATTGGAATGTTTAAGGTATCCTTCTTATAGGAGAAACACCTCTAAAAAATTATTACTGTGTAGTTTCTCGAGTGTCCTGAACTCAGTCTCCATGAGTTCTTCCTAAACAGTGGTTCTACTATTTGAAAGTTGGGAGATTAAAATCTACAAAATAATAGTATATGTAAAAATGGCTAATGGTTATGCAGCTTAACAACGGACATCTCACCCCCAATATTGCCCTGCCTTGGAAGAGCTTACATTGCTCCTGTGATAATATGGGGATTTTTCTGGGTAGCTGAGGTGAGTATCCACACTGGTGTTCATGCTGTTTATGAAAAGGCTACTGGCTGTGAGCACCTCGGTGTTACATGTTTGGCATCACCTTGTGCCCAGTTATCAACTCTGAATCTAACTTCTGTTCCTTCCAGATCACTTAAAGGAAATTTCAATGAGTTTGGTGAGAGGAAAATGAAAACAGGAGGAAACCTCTGCCTTTAGATCCCCAAATTCAGGAGGCTAATTTCTTCTCCTTGGTTATCAACCAGTTTCCACTTCATTAGATGCACTATTTTCATCTGCATATATAAAACTTATTTCTAAGTGGATGCTTCTTATACCCTCAAAAATAAATACTAGAGAACTAAAAGATTTAAAACATATAAAGCCCAGTGAAAAATATAAATATTAAAAATGACAACTCTTCAAAAACTGTTTTGTACAGATTTTTATGTACTTCTAATATTCCTACAACCAAAACCCAACTTGAGACGTGTTGTGTATGAACGAGTTAGTAACAAATGTACTAGGCTCATAAGGACATGTAATTTTTGGTATGGCTAGTTTAAGTGAAAAACAATGTGAGAATAAGAAAACTAGAAGTGAAAATTTCCCCACGTCTATTTGTCATAAAGGTCCTGCAGACGCTTTAGGTATCCATTCCCTCTGTCAAACAACTTTTCCCGTTTTCCTGTTAGACTCAGGGTAGATTGTGTTATCCACCACTAGATGGCACCATGTACAAGTGATCGATTTGTTTTCCTTCCGGATGAAGTAAACTGGTCTTTGCTCACAACCTACATAGAAGCCCTAGGAATGACAGGCAGGACGTGTCACAGGATGGCTGAGAAGGCGGCTCCCTACGTGCTGAACTGCTGAGTCTGGCTCTTCTGAGTTTGAGAGCAGTCTAACAGCGATTACTTCACTCCCCCCCCAAGGAAGGAAATCAGAATTCGCAGGGAAAATCATTTGATATAAATGTAAATGTTGTGCTGTACATATGGAAGTTGCCATTCAATGGCAGATGAATACCTCACTTATAGGGAATCAACCGCTCTTCCCGTTTTCGGTGCTGTGAACCCCAAAGGCCCCCCTCAGTGGGGGGCCTCAAAAATACAGCTCCTGCTGTGTTCTATAGTTCTGTGTTGATGACTTTGTTTTAGTCAGTTATGGAATTGACTTATCTGAATACTACATATTTGCTCCTTTCTGTTTTTCCTTAGGTATCAGGTTTCTAATTCTTGACTTCCACAGATGACAGCCCCCCAAACCAGTAATGGTGAGTAACCTTGAGAAGTTATTTTAAGATGCAGCAATGGACAACAGCTCTCTTTCCTCCTCCTCCTTTTTAAAAATTATCTATTCAAATTTTTTAATGTAGAATATAATTTTACTATGTTTTGGTCAAAGATGCACCGGTATAAGCATTATCCACTGAACTTGTTAGCGCAATCTTTCCCTTTCACAATAAGTGTAACATATTCTTATATATGGTACAGGGGGTGGTCTGAGAGAGATTATGGAATATGCATCTAAAACAGAAGAAAAAAAAGGCAGGAAAGAAAAGGCTCCCTACAAGGTATCAACATTTTCTCGATGATGAGGATGGAGGAACCTGGGAATATCAAAAAGTTACCAAAATAGTCAGGAGAGGAAATATATGTGGAAAGAAGGGGAAAAGGGTATAAAATTATTTCTAATTCAAATCCAGTCAGCAACTTGGATACCTCCAGCCCCAAAGTTAACCACAGCCATGTTTTGAAAGTTCTGATTCATACGCACGGGTGCTTGTTGTTCAATCTTGGTTTGGCTCCTGGGCTGTTGACTCTTTATTCCCCACCTGCTGAATGAATTGAGTCCCTGTGTTAAAACAAAGAGCCTGTGATGGTCCTAAGGAAATATCATAGTTTACACAAAGTAGTCTGTTGACTGACTATTTATTTTTCAGTTAAAAATTTTTTTAATTAAAAAAATTGTGACCAAGACAATCAATAATAGAACATAATTTGCAACTAGTCAGGAAGGCAACTGGTCCCAAGAGAGTAAAGAAAGTGATAATAAAGGGATGCCATCTCTGGGTGAACAGCGTGATGCAATGACACAAAGACAAGACTTGAAAGCATGACAAATATGTTACAGGTTAGAATAATTATCTTCCAAGTCGGAACTATTTGAAAGGCATAATGTAGCCTGGGCGAAAGGCTAGTTGAATCTTTAAATGATGCAGGTCAGCGTCCATTGTGGTCTTCATACTGATGACGGAGACTGGGGGCATCACAGTGGAAGTCGAGCATTTTAGAACCTTGAGCTGATCTAATCCCATCCCTTCAGTTTACAGGTGAGGAAGCTGAGGTCCAGTGAGGGTAAATGACTCTCCCAAGGTAGCACAGCTAGACAATGACAAACCCAGAATGAGAACCGGTTTCCGGCTCACAGGCTGTTCTTCAACCACACTGCCTCCAAGGTAGGCAGAGGGCCCACGAGAGGCATGTGGGTCTGTGTGACCACAATGCTGAGTAAAGCCTGAATCAGAACACTTGAACGCTTCTCGTGACGAGACTCAGAGGACAAAGCCCCTGCCTGAGCAAGCTCAGAGACCAGACTGACAAAGCCAGTAAGCATTTACCTCCTTTCCAGGCAGAATGATGGGAGAAAGATAAAAGGTCAAGGAAGCAATGCCTGTCTAATTAAACTGGTGACCACACCCACCTTGTTATGAGAAGGTGCCCGGGTCAGGTCAATACCTAAATACTAACAAACAAACAGTACTGCTAACAAAAACAAGTTAAAAGAAAATCCTTTTACTAGAATACTTGTAAATACTCATCAATAATAATAATGATGATGATAATAATAATACCTTTCTTTAAAAAAAAAAACCACTTCAAGTTGCATATTACAAACACACATGTTGTGAAAAAAATGCTTGTTTGTGTGGTTGAACATGAATCCCTGTCTTCCCTGCCACGCTATAGCTTTATTCCCCAAGGGCATGAGGTGGGTGCCCTGAAGGAATAAGGAAGTCTTAGCTCTCTCTCCTTTATACTTAGATTCTCCACTTCCCTGATACAAACAGTAACACTGGTTCTACAAGTTCTAGAAACAGAACACTGATGATGGGAGGATTATCTCTGAGACACTTGATGCACATGATTTGTAGGAAAAGTCTGTGACTTCTCTGTAAATTACTAATCTGAAAGAGACACAGCAAACCGTCCACAGCTTCAACTTCAAATGATTTAAACAAAAATAGAACGAGCCATGGACAGTGTCTGCATCCCTGTCCAATTTGATGTAAACAACGTTTGTAGAAACTGGGTTTGTTAAGAAAGTTTATCCATATATCTGGATAGCAATAAAAAGCGTTTCCTAGGAAACTGTAAGATCCTGTACCACACAGCATACAGCCCAACTAAGAGGAAAATTAGGTTGATTTCTAAATTCAAGATACACATTTGTACAATTGTTCTTAACTCCTGTGACGACGTCCAAGTGGAGTGGGCATGTATATTGGTAGTTGTGTCTGTTTTCCTTGTCTCTCCCGCTGCAGTCTTGCCTGTGGAGCTCACTGGTCTAGACTGGGTTTCCTCCTCAGCTCCGAGCCCCCGGACGTCCACAGACTCCCCGTGACTCTACTCCTTCACTCTCAGCCCCAGCCTGGGTCAATACTGCCCTTCTGCTGCTAACGACACTACTGTTTCATGTCTTCCCATTTCCTCCAAGACAGCCGCCAGCACGCTCAGGTTTCCATCTGGGAAGTTCTGTGCTTCCCAAAGATCCAGGATGACGCCAGTTGGACTTGATTTGGTGGCAAAGTAATTCAAGTACCTGTAATTGGTAATGGGAAAATGTGCTGAATGGTGTGATTTATGGATCTATTTTCCTCTCAGTTTTTACTAAACCTTTTCGTTACTGCATTTCTGTAAGTATATAACTGGACCCACTTGGGAAACTGTGGCTTGCAGTGAGCCGTTCTGAACAACTAGCCCATACTTAATTAGGTCAGCCCCAGACAAGAGACGAGATGCCTTAACTTTAACCTCAACTGTGAGTAAGATAATTTAAGAGACAAGATGTCTGTGGGTCACATCCTAAACAGGAAACCAAGAGACTTATGTTTTCTTTCCAGCCCAGGCTCTGATCATCTTTGACAGGTTATGCCATGCCTTTTGCTTGGTAGTGATGGCAACGTTCTACAAAGAGGCTCCTGAGGTCTCTTCATAACTTCATAGCAGTGCTGTGTTTAGCATGTTCATTACCCATCCAGCTCAACAGGAGGTGAGGAACAATTAGTGAATGGATATATCATTTAGGGGGATTTAGCCTGTCAGCTTTGCGAAGTGGATCACAGAACCCGATATTTACAAATGTCAGGTAAGCCCAGGATGTCTCTCAACAACGTGTTTGCAAGACCATGGTGCAAGATACAGGGTAGGAGCTTAATACATGTTGTCATAATGAAAAGTAAGTAAATGTACAGATGGAGGAAAAAAAATGAACGTTGCCCTAAGTCAGCTGTATCAGTCCTGGAGCCCGATGTCTAACAGGAACTAGTTCTGAAGCCTGGCCATACCCACCTGTCCAGGTTTAGCTTATGGGCCAGCATCCTCCAGTCATGACCCCTCGTCTGTGGGGCATCCAGGCTGCTACAGAGCTTCTGCCGGATAGGGGGAGGGATGCTGAAAGCACTGGGTCCCGTCATGGTGGTGACGGTGCTCGCTGGATCCAGCAGAGGCAAATCGATGCCAGTAGGTTCCTATAGTTCAGGCACGGGAACAACACAGCATTATTTCTGAAGACAAAAGCAATCCTTATTGAGCCAATCAACATAATGCCTTGCTTTGAATGGTAAGAAGAGAATGAATGTTGTTGTTATATTCTCCTTAGTGAGAATGGCTTCTTTCTGGCTGACAGTTGTGATTCTCTGTAACCTGGCTGAGAGGAAGAGGTACATTTTGAGCTGATATTTGCATAGCCTTGGATTTATGGGTCTTCTGTAAGGACTGGGCTAGCTGGAAAGCTCGGGTGTAATTCAATTACAGCTTTTCTAATGGGATTCTCCAGGATGAGCAAGGGAATATCAATACTCCTAAAGGTTTAGATTTCGGGGTGTGGGGGAGAAATGTTCAAAAGGGCAGCTCTTTGAGAATGAACTGATCTAGATCTGAGATTCTAGAGACTGTCTGACCCTGAGGGGAAGCCCTGGGCAAATGCTTGAGTAAATTCTCCCTCTAACCTCTGTAGATGGCGGCTCGGGGCCTGCTTTTGTTGAATGAAATGGGACACAAGCTCTCCTCTAAATGACGTCGAATTAAGACTAATTATTTAAAAGAAAATGGCAAACACAGTACCTGGCTTTATTTAGGGCAAGCTGCTAACAGAATCCTCCAATTGCTGTACACCCTTATTTGTTTTTAAATCTAATTTTAGTTGAGAAAAACCACAGATTGGCTCTTGAGATAGTTTCAGCTCATAAAACAGCACGATTGCAAAACCTGAAATTCATCTGCAGGAGAAACTCTAATCATTTTCTGATCACTTCTGCTGGTTGGAGAAGCAAAAGCAAATGTTGCCTGGGGACTATTAAAGCAATAAAAGAAAATCCACTTAATCTACTTTAAATGTCATCTCTCTCTTTTTCAGAGCAGGTAACTCGGTGGTGAACATAATTAGTTGCTGGAGGATAAAACAGCCACACGCAGGTCCAGCCATCAGGAAGTTTCGGGGTCTGGTGGAGGGCTCCGCTCAGACGTCAGTGCCCCTGCCCTCCAGAGACTCCCAGACCCTGCTGTTCCTGCACCTGGGGGCCACTGTCTGTGTTCCAGGATCAGCAGCCCAGGCCCACTGCGAGGCTTGTGCAATCACACGGCACAGGGTCCATCCGGGGGCTCTGGAGGGCACGTTAGAGCAAAACGAATTTTTTTGCCATAGACCATCAAGTGGTGTTGGCTGTGATCACAATATCTGGCCTCAGAATCCAAAGCTTGGCAAACTGAGCCTCCGAGGATTCCAGTGGCTCCTTTATGTTAACTCCAGCACATAGCAGGACTGAAAAGACTGGTATGAGATACGTTGGAGTCCCTGAGTCCCAAAGAGCTTTCCCTTGCACTGGGCACAGAGCTCTTTCCAAGGGACCATGAGGACAGAGGGCTCCTGACCTCAAGGGCATAGGGCTTAAACAAAGGGCAACAGAAGAGAGGACTGAAGGCACATGTTCGTGTTTTTCAACAGATTTACGTTGGGAATGTCTGCACCCAAGTGGCCAGCACTTCTCTTAGGTATAAAATTGGGAGGTGGGGCGGGCAGAGGCGTGGAGAAACCACACCTCATTCCACAGCTTAGCGCTACGGCCCACTTGCAGGTCCTGCTTGCTTCTTGCCTGGACCATAAGAACGGGGCCTAGAAGGAAACCCATCCTGCCCATCCCTGGCCTGCAGCGAGGCTGAGTCTACATGGGGTGGGGGGTGGGGAGTCTGCTTGGTGTAGCGCTGCCTCGTGGCCTCACCAGCTCCCTGCTGCTTCCCTGCGGTCTATCCCTTATGCCAGACTCATCTTCCTAAAGCCCAGCGCTGACGTTTCTCCTGCCTTCTCTCGGTAAGTGTTAAATGGCTCTCCTACCACATGGATTCCCAACTCCTTATCAGGCCATGAGGTCATCTGCAGGGCCTGCCTGGCGGGCTGGCCTGAAGCCTGGGATGTCTGTAACCTGCAGAGCCAGGCCTGCCGTGGACGAGGGGCCCGTGTGTTCCCTCCACCTGGCAGCCTGGCTCCTGCCTTTCTCAGGTTGCACTGGCATGACTGGACCATTCACTGTTCCTAGCGCCTTTCTTAAGGATGTGCCTTCGAGAGTTCTTCTGCCCTTTCCCTTAACCTCTGTCAGGCAAACACCTCAAAATGTGGGCTGAGGGCTTCCCTTGTGGCGCAGTGGTTGGGAGTCTGCCTGCTGGTGCGGGGGGCGCGGGTTCGTGCCCCGGTCCGGGAGGATCCCGCGTGCCGCGGAGCGGCTGGGCCCGTGGGCCGTGGCCGCTGGGCCTGCGCGTCCGGAGCCTGTGCTAAGCAAAAACAAATCTTTCCCAAGATGCAGTAACCCACGGTTAGGATGTGCAAAAAAAAAAAAAAAAAGTGGGCTGAAAAGCATGTTCCCTGAGCAAAGCCGCCCAAAGCCCTCCGCCTGGAGCCCTCCTACAGCACTTCCCACAGCCCCTGTCCTCCTCCTACGTCTGCGCTATACACGCTGGTTGTACTTACGGACGACTTCCTCTGATTTCCCAAAGTTCTTGGAGATGAGAGTATTTTTGTCATCCTCAGAACTTCTATGACCCTCAGGGCAGTTCCCTGAACGTGGAAGCTACTCAATTCCTATTTGTTGAAGAGAGGAAGGTATGTTTTCTGGTAGAGGAAGAGGATGAAGCCAGTTCCTAGAAGAAGCCCACCTTGCAGAATAGTGCTGCCACATCCCAACTAAACGTGGCTAAAGGTAAGGCTCTCCTCACTGTTCAATCCTGAACGTAAGGCAGGCACGACTCTCAGGAAGGTCTGCTCACACATACACGGTGTCCCCCTTCTCTTGGTGAATAAAGAACTGTCAGCACTTTAACGTGGGCCTTCAAACCCTGAGTCTTCAGCCTTGGCTACTGTGCCTGTCTATTTCTTTGTGCATGAAACAAGCCCTTAGTCTCTTTATCAGATGGCTGACAGCAGCCTTGGAGGTAAAAGAAAAATACATATATACATTTACATTCAAATTTCATCTAGTAATTTCTGTTGCTGTTAGTTCTTTTACTTCCAGGTATATACTCTCACAGAACACTTATAATAATTGTTTATGATATTGGTACCATCTGTCTTTGATGTTATGATTCCCTTGGTTAAACATGATTTTTCACCATTAACCAAACAGCTGCTATGGCGCACATTTTCAACACTCCACAGGAGAAACGACTTTCCTTTCCTGTATTCTGACTCTTCCTGAAGTCACTTAGAAAAACTAGATTTTCCCAAGGGTCCTTTTTGAACAGGTTATAGAAAACAGAGAAGGTGAACAGATAGGATGGCTATAGCCGAGTGAGGCTTTGTACATTTTTAATACTGTTGTTTGTGTGCATGAAAGTGCTGTGTGTCAATAGTTAACAGGGTTATAACATCTTTGTCTATACTGTAGTTAAAACTGAAAGTCCTAACGAGACTGAGGTTTCTCTCTCTTCTCTACTTTTTTTTTTCCTCTTGCTGGTGATGGGCAGCTTCTCCTTTATTACCTCCCCTGTCCCTCTAAGGAAAAACCTTTTATTATCATTTATCCTCATACTTTTAACTCTTCTAGGCATTTTCATTCTTAAACTTCATCTCTGTGAGACTAAAGGCTTTATCTCTAGGTAAGGAATCTCTGGCCAAGGCACCTAGAGAGGAACAATCGTCCAGCTCTTGACATCACCTTGGTCTATGTCAAGCACAGCCTGGTCTCCCTGGGGGGCAGCAGGCCCTGTGCCTGACTGCAGAGGCCAAGGGCCGAAGAGCTTTAGAAAGGAGCGCTGGTGACACCTTGAGCAGCGGGTGGCGGGGGGAGGCAGCAGCGCATTCCTGGCAAGTCAGCTCATTTTCAGGAGATGGGACGTTGGAACTGCAACCCCGGGCCACCTGCCAGCCTGCCGTGTGACCGTAGGGAGGAGCCCTGTCCAGAATACAGACACCACCAGTGGAGCCTTTTCTCTGGTTGGTTGTGGCTTGTCAGCCACAGGGAACCCTTCCTCGAGCTTTTGATGAGAATCCAGGTCTCGGGGCTCTCCAGAGCCAGTTGTTCACCAGCACACAGCCTGGCTCTCCGACATCAGGACATCAGTACCAGCGCAACTCTCCCCGCTCTGCAGGCCACATGCACTGCATTCAAATGCTAACAGCAACGGTGGGACTCAGTGACCCAGAAGGAAAAGCAGCAGAGTGGCCCCTAATCCCCAAAGTCATCTGACTCGGGTCATTTCTGCCTCTCCCCTCCTCCCGTTAAGTGTGCTTGTCTGTCACAGGCCTCTGAGGAGACTAAAGGGTCGGCCTCCCTGAGCTGACTGCTACCAGGTTGCAAAAGAAATCATCTTTCCCCTGTGCTGGCACAGGAAAGAAAGTCCTTAAACTGATCACACTATGACGCGACACTGTCTCTTCGGTGAGGGGTTGGCCAGCCTGGTCGGGCGGGGTGGGGGGCGGCCGGGGGTGTCGGCCCTGACCAGCGCGCTTTCATTCGCGGACACAGCTCATCTGCCTTTTCACCACATCGCTCATGCTGAACAGAAAGCAAGCATCAAAGGAGCAGACCTCCTCGACGCCCCCTCCAAAATTCCGCAGCCTTTGTTGTGGCTGGAGCTGGGTGGGTATTGAGCTTTGCAGACCTGCTGGGCCTGGAAAGTGAAAACACCCTCCCGAGCCAGCAGGGGTGGTGCTGCGGGCCCGGGAGATGGGCCCGCGCACAGAAAGGCCCGGCGGGTGCCCTGGCGCCCTGACACCAAGATCATGCCTTATGAATGTCACCGAGGCCTGTGACTAAAGTTGTTTATGAGTCAAAAGTCTCATGAAACGGAGGGAGGAAACGATGACCGCAGCTCACCAGGCTGTGGGAAAGGAGGAGGTGGCAGCATCAAGGCTGACGAGCTTCCCCACTCGGTTTGCTAAAGGAAGACTGTCTTTAAATACGACATGTGGAGTGAGACACGCCGAACCGGGTGACGCAGAAAGGCCCGGTTGCCATGGCGCCCTGACACCAAGATCATGCCTTATGAATGTCACCGAGGCCTGTGACTAAAGTTGTTTATGAGTCAAAAGTCTCATGAAACGGAGGGAGGAAACGATGACCGCAGCTCACCAGGCTGTGGGAAAGGAGGAGGTGGCAGCATCAAGGCTGACGAGCTTCCCCACTCGGTTTGCTAAAGGAAGACTGTCTTTAAATACGACATGTGGAGTGAGACACGCCGAACCGGGTGACGTTTCATTCGTCACTGTGCGTGAGACGGCGAGGAAGGAGGAGTCTTTTAAATCATATACCGTCCGGCTGTACTTCTAAAATATGACAATTCTGTGCTGTGGCTCAAAAAGCAGCACCAAGCTCAGCTCCACAGGCCCCGGACGGTGCTGCCCGCTTCCTTTCGCCCTGTCCTTCTCCTTTTGTCCCTCCAGCCTGAAGCGTTTCCATGGTTCTGACTCCAAGCCCTGGGGTCCCAGGTAACCAATAAGGTCGTGAGCACCCCCTCTTTCCACCCAGAGAAGTCTGAAATAGCAGTGATGATTTTATATGGCGCTCAGAAATGACAGAGTCCCACCTGAAGGAAGTGAGGGTCACAGCGAGGAAAGGCAGCGTGATGGGCGCCAGGGGGGAAATGCGTAGATTTTACTTCTATTTCTGGACTGTCTCTCCTACCTCGGGGAGAAGGGCATCTCTTCTATTTGGAGGATGATGTATAAGAGAGCAACGAGACCAAGAGACTTCTCCTTTCTACATGGAGATAAAAGGAAAGGAGGCCAAAGGAGCGGGCAGGGAGTGCAGGATCAGGCAAAGCAGGTGAGTTCCGAGGAAAGAACCAGAACAGGAGGAGAGGCGGAGGATACAAGGAACAGGACAGCAGGGATGCTTTGGGAAAGCTACTCTTACGTGTGCGATACTTAAATTGAACCTTATACTTGAAGTCCAGATCTGTATAAAAAGTGAGGACAAGATCCTTAAGTTCATGTCACAAAACCTAAAAGTCCTGCTTTTTGCAAGGGATCCTCTGGTTACACTTTCATATAATTGTAGCTCACTGTGTTCACTAAAAATACTGTTCTGTGAACCAGCAGGCCCTCCAGAGAGCTTTTCAGGACTTCCCACACTGAGATGCTTTATACCCCACTGGCCCTCCCGGAGGTCGGTCCCTCCTCTGGTCTGAGACCAATGAGCGCCTCTTACCTCGGACACGGTGCAGTTCAGCTGGAAGATCTGCCCTTCTCCCTCTACCTGCCGCACACAGAGTTTGCAGACCAGCTCCACTGTGTTCAGGCTAAATCTTTCCAGAGTGAACGTGCAGTGGAGGTTTCTCTGAGACCCACTCCAGATGTGGTAGAAAGGAATTTCCTGAAGCATATAAAAGGGTGAACCACAAATGAGGGACTAACGCTCCAGGAGGCTATCAGACAGTGCGGCTGCAGAGTACTCATCTCAGTACTACACGTGTTAATTACCTTATTTAATCCTCACGATGGGTCCATGCACAAGCACATCCCAACCTCCTTTTCAGGTGAAAAAAACAGGCCCAGAGATGTTAAAGAACTCACCCAAAGTCCCACAGCTAGAAAGTGGCAGAGTTGAGGTCTGAACCCAGGGAATCAGCCCCAGAATCCTTATACCTAACCAGCCTGCCGCTTCTCTGTCACTTACACACACACACACAAAAAAAACCCCGAAACAAAAAAACATCGTAAATTTTTTAAGGTTTAGACAATTGCCCAAATAAAACCTACACACTCCAGTCACTGCCCATTCAAAGGAATCCCTGCCATGGTACCCTGGAGAAAAGTAAAGTCCAGAGGGTGACGCACTGACCCAGTTCCCTTTCATGCCTACGCCCTCCCTCTGCACAGGATGGGGAAAGCCAAAACTCACTACAAGTTGGAAACCGGAGGCTTGATTAGCTGCCACAGAAAAGTTCTTGGCCTAAAAGGCACCAAGCCTCTAACAGACACAACTGTCTATGAGTCTAGATCACCTCACAGAGCCCAAGAATCTTTTTTTTTCAATAAAGGAAAAAGAAGGATCGATACAAAATGGTAGACCATGTTGGTTAAGAACATAGGCTCTAGAGCCAAATTCAGTACAAATAGGATGCCTTCCCCTTGCTTACTTGGTGATTTGGGGCAAGTTACTTAACCTTTCCTGAGTTTCTTCATCTGTGAAAGACTGTACCTAAGCAACAGGGTACCCGAATGGAGGGGGTTAAATGAGATTAATCGAAGTACAGGAGAGTCTGGCAGATGGTGAGAACTCAGCCAGGCTTAGCTTAAACTAACATCAGGTTATCATCATTATAAAAACAACTTTCCATTATGGTTGCACAGAAAGAATTGTTCATAAAAGGGGAAGGTCTGTGGACTTTTATGGCAGTTGCAAAATCAGAGAAAGAAGAAAGCAAAGGAGATTTAATGAGAAAGTTAAAGCCAATCTTTCAATCAAGTGCTGAGCGTGTGCTCGAGACTGTGAGCAAACCAGTGGGTTTGTTTCCCACAATTTCTGTGTAAGTACCAGACATCTGAGAGTAAGAATGCAGCTGAAACTCTTCCCTTCATCCCTTCTAGTATGTTCACTGACTTACTACATCAGGAAATCACAACCAGTGCAGCTACAGTGCGGGGTGTGGGATTGGATTTGCGCGTGTGTAGACAAGGATTCACTGCTGATCCTAAGGGTGTCGACGACTCCTAGGATGGGTCTGAGGCTTGGGATCCCATCGCACGATCTCCTGAGAGCGTGGGCTGGCTGATGGAGGAGGAGGTGAACACCTCTGGAGAGTCTTGTTTTTCCCACACACAGCTACATACAGTGGGACCAGTATTTTTATGCTGTTATTTAATAAAATCCTGACCAGGTTTTATTTTCACTTGCTATTCCAGCTTCCAAGCTGAGGTTCCTTCTAAGTTTTCAATGTAAACGCACTCTCCTAGCCAGGCCGAAGCCTAATTTGTGTCATGTGGGATAACAATGTTCCCTTTCTCCTGTGAATGCATTTGAGGCTGGTTTTTACCAATTCAATGTTAACATTACTCTGAGAATGCACAGACATGATGGACTTGGAAATCTTATTTACTAAAACATTGATAGTAAAGTTATCTGAAAGAGAATTCAGAAAAAAGCATTTCCTCCAGTATGTCTAGAGTATTTTTCAAAAAATCTTAAATACCCCCCCAACTATTCTGGACAAACGAGTACTAAGATAGGATTACTTTCAAGGAAGGGAGTATCTTCTGTCTAAATCATTCTAGTCCTCTTGGAGATGTCTCCAAGCCTTTAGTTCAGCTTGGGAACCTTACCTGATATTTGGCCAGCAATTTGCTCTTCCAGAGGGAATGGGCGACATCATGAATGGACAGGCGCAGGTTGTGGGTGCTGCCTTTAAAGTGAAGAGCCTTAGGTTCTTCTAGGAGCTGTCCTCCCATCTGTCTCTCGAGCTGCAAGACTTCCTGCGATGACATGTCCCAAACCAAAAGCAAATATGAATGACTGGCGTCACTTCCATAGTATGCTTCCTCACTCTGCCCCCAGCCCCAAAACCTAACTGAGCAGCACGTGACCTCCATCCTGCAGCCCTGAGACCCTCCAGCTGAGGCCCCGGCCAGTCTGCACGTGACTGGGCCCTACTGACCATGGACTGTGTCAGCAACCCACATGACACTGTTGTGCGGTACATTCAGTACAGTCTACACTTCCTGACGAACAAGTGGGGTATTTAATCAAATACGGGGCAACGACGATCAGAACCCAAAATGGGGAGAATCTCCCCGAAAAGAAAAAAATCGGCAGAAACGTAGATAAAGAGATACGTAAGTAGATTTTCAATGAACTTTTTTTTTTTTTTTGCAGTACGCGGGCCTCTCACTGTTGTGGCCTCTCCCGTTGCGGAGCACAGGCTC